TCAGCAGGACTCACTGATCCTAGGTATTTAGCTGTGCAACAAAGTCAGGGGTCTAGGAGCTTTTTTAACATGACTACTCCTGTAGTTGCACCACCACATAGGGGATTCTCCAAGCAACATAGGAAATATGCTGATTAAGCAGAAAGTCATTTGATAAGGTTTCTCATAATGTTTATAGAAGACCCTCTGTACCCTGTACCAAAATGGTTCCAGTGGTTCATGTAGTGAAAAAGCTGATAAAGCTTTAGGCGTTCCTCAAACCCTGCAGCTTTGGGAATTTTACTGTGGTAAGCAGAGTAAAAAGAATTGCTGAAGCCACCAAACATCCCAGCAATTGCAAGCTCATACTCTGAATGGCCATAGAACGATGCCGGATCGAAGATAATGGGACCAGAATCATCCTCAGCTACATTTCCTCCCCAGAGATCTCCATGCAGGAGAGCAGGAACAATTTCTATGCCACGAAACAAACTGGGTATCTTCAGCTGTGGAGGAAAAAAGCAAGAAGCATAAGTACTACATATTAAGGTGAATTATTAGAGTTCTATCTGCATACATGCAGACAGCAGGAACTGAAACTTTAAAAGTTTGTTAAAAAAACCCAACAAACATAACTTGAAACAGCACAAGACCCAGTCAACAGAGATGCTGAGAAAATCAAAAGGATTTCTGTTTTTCAGAAAAGTCAGCAGCTGAAGAGCAATCATCCAAATGATTTCTAGCAGTAAGAAAATATTTTAAATTACAACAGTGTTTAAAACGGTGCTGCAATATTGACCAGCTTTAATGACAACAACAACAACCACCCACATCATTATTACAAGGCTCCGGAATCTGTCAACAACATTGGAGAGCTTTCTACAAAGTAGTACCAAAATAGCTAATGCTGCAGTCACTTAATTGGGTACAAACCTTAAAAGAACAGATGATGTGAACAACAGCACTGTTTATATACATTTTGCACCATGAACATGCTACAGGGAATGAGAAAAGTGAGCTTGATGGAGTGTTTCCCAAGCAAAGTGCTATTTGGCACACATTCACTTTGGAATACCAGCATAGGGTGATGTGGCAAAAGCCATGATAACTTAGAAGGACAAGTTAATCCTTAAAACTGGAGTCTCTTACCACCGGAACCTGGAGCATACCAACAAAGAGGAATTTTGTTTTAGGAAATGAAAATCTAAACAACTCACACCCAGCTATCCCTATATTGAAGAACTGAGAGAACTTCTCCTACCTGAAGTTGTGCCCAAAGTTCTCTTGCTTCCCTGTCTCCTGAATTCTTTTCAATCATGTCCATCTGAGGCTGGATTCTCTGCTTGGCAAAGAAAGTCACCCAGTCATTCTGCCAGTCATTCACCTGAAGGGATAGGATTGCAGATGATACATGCTGCATGAGACAGATATTTGTCGTTTTCAAATAAAGCTTTGGAGGATTATGTAGCCTTTGTGCTGATACCATTTAATAGACTGCAATCTTAGAACACTAAATTAGGCAAGTAAATAATTTTCTCTAAGTGGTAAGAACAAAGAAACTGAAAAGCTAAGGAAGTCAAATGCAGCTGGGAGTGCTGATCAAAGCCTTACTACTTTTTTTAAGCAACACTGATCTGAACACTACAACAGCACTGTTTATATACATTTTGCACCATGAACATGCTACAGGGAATGAGAAAAGTGAGCTTGATGGAGTGTTTCCCAAGCAAAGTGCTATTTGGCACACATTCACTTTGGAATACCAGCATAGGGTGATGTGGCAAAAGCCATGATAACTTAGAAGGACAAGTTAATCCTTAAAACTGGAGTCTCTTACCACCGGAACCTGGAGCATACCAACAAAGAGGAATTTTGTTTTAGGAAATGAAAATCTAAACAACTCACACCCAGCTATCCCTATATTGAAGAACTGAGAGAACTTCTCCTACCTGAAGTTGTGCCCAAAGTTCTCTTGCTTCCCTGTCTCCTGAATTCTTTTCAATCATGTCCATCTGAGGCTGGATTCTCTGCTTGGCAAAGAAAGTCACCCAGTCATTCTGCCAGTCATTCACCTGAAGGGATAGGATTGCAGATGATACATGCTGCATGAGACAGATATTTGTCGTTTTCAAATAAAGCTTTGGAGGATTATGTAGCCTTTGTGCTGATACCATTTAATAGACTGCAATCTTAGAACACTAAATTAGGCAAGTAAATAATTTTCTCTAAGTGGTAAGAACAAAGAAACTGAAAAGCTAAGGAAGTCAAATGCAGCTGGGAGTGCTGATCAAAGCCTTACTACTTTTTTTAAGCAACACTGATCTGAACACTAAGAAAGCCTCCATTGCACCCTCCCCTAGGAATGTGACAGGGAAAGGGGTAGCATCACCTACAGGGATCCCAGAAATAGCATTTGTCATGCTTTTGAGATCTTGAAAAACACCCCTAAAATTGAGATCCTTCCTTGCTGGAACTGGTCTGCTTCTGAAGAGTTTGAGGATAGAGGAGGCTGTGCAAGCAGCAGGTGTCCTTTGTGGGTGGCTCATCCCTCCTGTGCAGGGCCAGATCACTGTCCAAGTGTCCCTCCATGCAGGAGTGCAGGGAGTGACTGCAAACTAGTAGATTTGAGGCTCCCGAACAAAGCCGCAGCAGCAGGATGTTCTCTGTGACTTTAACTTCCTGCCCCCCGGTGCACTCACCACAGGTCATGAGTGCAAAGGCTGGCGGGGCTGGTGGGGCAAGGCCAGGCGGTGTGACACGCAGCGCCTTAGAGCGCAGATAAAATTTCCCTTCCTTGTGTTCCACTCATCTGAGGCTGGAGTGCCTCTGCTCTGGAGACAGGCTAAGGGTGTTGGGGCTGCTCAGCCTGGAGGAGAGAAGGCTCTGGGGGGCCTTAGTGCACCTTCCCGTGCCTGATGGGGCTCCAGGAAAGCTGGGGAGGGGCTTGGGACAAGGGCAGGGAGTGATGGGATGAGGGGGAAGAGTTTCAAGTGAAAGGGGAGAAATGTAGGTGAGATATGAGGAAGAAATTATTCCCTGTGAGGGTGGTGAGACACTGGCCCAGGCTACCCAGAGAAGCTGTTGCTGCCCCATCCCTGGAAGTGTTCAAGGCCAGGTTGGATGAGGCTTGGAGCAAACAGCTAGGTGTCTAGCTGGGACACCTCCCACTAGAGATGGGAAACTAGGCGATCTCTCCCAAATGCAGTCCTTCCACCCCTCCTGGCCCCCCTCCAAGCTGCTCTCTCACTTCTGCATCCTCCCAGCTGCAATGGCGGTGAGGGAAGAAGGCAGTCCAGAATCAATGTGATTGATAAAGCAAGCTTCTTCTTCGATGTATTGAATACACAGTGTTACATTTATACCCTTTTCCAAAACTACTTGTCGTGATTTCATTGGATAGTCATGATATCATTGGATAGCTCTATTTACATGCTCCACCTTCAATATGGTAACATACACATAGAGTTCTCGGGGTTCTTCCTTATTCTCTGTTATTCTACTTCTCTATCTTGTCCTTGTTGAAGAGTGGACAGAGTCCAGCAGGTAAATAAGGACCACCGAGGGTCTCACGCTGGGCATGGGTGAGGAGGGAGGTAGCTTGGCACAGTGTGACCACACGCCTCCCACCATCGGGGAGCCAAGGAATTAAAGGCAAAATCAGAAGCAAATCCTGCCTGATTTCTCCCAGACAGGTCAGGGAGGCTCCTGCCATGGAGCTGAAGCAGATGAAGTACAACCTACCTGTGGAAGATAGCCACAGCAGGTAACTGTATGAAAGCCAAACTGATCCACAAACTGGACTTCCATTTGCCCTTGACCTTTACCTTTAAAACCAAAGACAAAAATCCAATACTAAGTACGAGGTCCTAAGTTACTACAATGCAAATGGACCTTAAAAACTACACAAGGCTAAAATGCTGCTTCTACTAAGAAGAAAAGGAATTGCACTTTAATACTCTTTTTGTCACATTGGTTCTTGCTGTTGAGTTTTAAGTTTAAAGCTTGATGATAAGTGTTGAGTTTAGAGCTGTATTATAATCTTCATAACCATATTCTGAGGTAGCATATCTCCTCTGATACCATGTCCTTGCAGAAACTGTGGTTCAGGATCCCAAGGGTCCCAAATTGAATAAATGTTTTGTTTACAGAGATCCAAATAGAGCAAACAAAAGCACAAAGACAACCCCTCTGCCTGGGTGCTTTGACCAAATCTATCTTCATAATATCTTTAGGAGAACAATAACAAAAAAACCCCTAAAATAACAAAAGCTATTTTCAATATTTTGTACATTATTATAAAGCAGGTTAAATTTGCAAACAGCTGTGTACTGTACCAACTGTGTTCTCTTCTTTCTTCAGCTTCTCTCCAAGTTGCTGGTTATGAAGGTGGAGATCAGCCAGTTGTGTTCCAAGCTTTCCTGAATGTCTAAGAAACAAAAGCATTCTTAGCAACACTGACACATGAATTAATCCAGTTCTTGTTATTCCAGGAACTACCTGAAAAGATTTATCAAGCAAGTAAAAGAAGTTTTGCATCTTGTTCTGTGCAAAGTACATTTTCAAAATATTCCAGCCATCAACACCTCTTCCTCCTCTAAAGATTACCTATTAACACAGAACAAAATGCACTGACATGGGTGTTTCTGACAGCACTGTTAAAAGTGAGCAGCAATCATAACCTTAGTAACAATGAAAAATTATCAATTTTAATTTGTGTGACATCACAGAACTTTCAGTAAGATATCTGTAAAAAAAGCATGCACAGGATGTTAGGGTTTTTTGTTGGTTTGTGGTTTTGGTTTTTTTGTGGGTATTTCTGGCAAACTCCTGTTGGGAAATACAGCCAAACAAAACTTATCCTCTTGTTTGTATCTGTCACTCTGTCTTCAGCTTCTTTACTCTAAAAGGCCTAGAAGATGCAAGGGTCAGGTGGGCCTTCCTTATTTGTTTATCTTTAAGAAAAGCTTGTCCTCTACGCAGTTCAGGAAAAGCCTTGCAGTCATTACAAAAACCTCTTATCCTCAGTTGCTTCCCATGGTAACAAAAGCATGTTCCTTTGTCAGTCTTGACTTCTCACATCTTTCCCTGTTCTCAAGGCATTGTCATTTAAGGCAAAGTTACTTCCTTGTTTTGCTCCTCTTAACACAGATTGTAGCTGTCCCCTGAAATTGGGATGCCAAAGGCTGCATTTGCACACTTTCTATCTCCACCAGCCCAAACACAATGGGATTTCTGCTCTTTCTCTTGGAGCTCACCAGGAGTTCCTCATGAATTATAAACTGCAGATGAGCAGTGTTTGCTACAGAGGAGGGCCCCAAGTTTGAAAAGACCAGAATCAAGGTGAGGGTTGTAAAAATCCTGCAATCAGGATGCATTCATTTTGGGAAGTGTCTCTGCGTAATCATGACAAGCAGTATTAAACATTGGTTCTTAATACCAAAGGAAAGTACACAAAACAGGTGATCAGGCAGGTAATTTTCCTAACTGTAAAAAGGAACCTTTCTGTAAACCACTAAATACTTACAAAAAACCCAAGCAAACACAAAATTAAAGAAAAAAACTTCTTGATGTACAATCTGTCTGCTAGGTGAAGCATTACCAAGTATTTTATACAACTCTTGGCTGTAAAACTTCCCACATGTCTCTTGACTTGACTGAGGAGTGGGGGGTGAAAGTCTCCCCTCTGAAAACAAGTGATTTAACTGCCATAACAGTCAAAATTTCTGGCTAAAGGAAGCAAAGGTAACACTGTGTTTTACCTGTTCAAGCCTCTCATTTCCAAATGTTCCATCACAAACAGAGTACTGCCCCCAGGCACATCTATAACTTTGATGGGTTTAGGCACTTTTATGGTCTGTGTTTTCAAGAGGGCTTCCAAACTTGCCATTTCTCCCTCAAACATTCTTCTAGCCTGTGAAATATTAAAGGAAAGCACTAGTCTCTATGAACACCAGTCCCAGATAAACCAAGTTCTTTCACAAGCCAAATCAAGGCCGTAAATGGTATAGAAAAAGCTTGGAGCAAGAGGTTACTGTACATACAAGACACAGATAGATCCACATCTGCAGAACTGACAGTAATTCTACTATTACAGAAATTCCTCTTCATAGACCAACTCCATGGAAGTGACTTAGGTTCTAGCACTCATTGTAATTGTAAAAGTAACATAGAGAGTCTGTTGACGGAGGGCAAACTGCTTATATTCTAAATGTAAGCAGTGTTTTATTAATGCATCATGAAGCACATGTCTAGGAGCCTATGAGAAATATAATTACTTGAGAGACTGGAAGAATGGTACTGACATTCATAGTCTTCACTACCTTCTTGACAGACTGCATAGTAATACAGCAGTCACAGTCAACAGTCTAATTTTCAGTCACAGAATTATTTCTCCTGGTCTGTTTCTTTAGCCTTATGGGGAAAAAAAAAAAAAAAAAAAATCTATTATAGCAGCCAAATGTCCCTGACTGCACTTGCACACAGAAGCCCTTAGGAGCCAAGCTCCTACCAGCTGCATTTGCTTTGAAGATATTCTGAACTTAAGACCTATTTCTGCAACTGTTACTCACATCAACAGAAATCTGTTCTCTTGAGCTGCTCCACTGCCATCAGTGACACTAGTCACACAAAGAAAAGCTGCTCTACAAGAGTTAGGCAGATATTGCAGGGAACAGGTACTTGGGAAGCCTATGGTATCTGCTAAAAGCAAAAGCAAGGAAATATAGTTAATAAAAGAGGAATAGAATACTAGCCTTTTAGTACTGATATATGAAACAGTCAAAGGACAATATGCAGTAGACATTGACTACGAATTCCGAAGCCTACAGGAGACCAAGAATGAAGAACTGCTGAATTACTAAGCCCTGAGATAGCTTTATTCACCAGAAATGCATCAGTACTGCATCTCTGTCTAAAGCATCACGCTAGGTTAAAGTCAGTTGTTAACTTATAGAGTAAAAACCACAGTGTTCTCTAAAGAACTTTGTTTTTCTACAGGAACTGCTGATCTACACCCACTGCTGCACACACAGCACAGCATTATAATACAGCTTGGCAAAGTTTGCTTTAATCAGCACTCAGAATCCACACACAGGCAAAAGCATCATAAATTAAATGATTACTGACTAGAAAACCTATCCATATCTTTTTTTTTCCATGTCCTGTCTTCTAGCTAGGCAGACTGTATACTTAAACATGCATTAAACAAAGGCCTAAGTAGAAGGGCTATGTTGCTATCAATTCATGCTATTTCCAGTCTAATATAAAGCTGGACAACCTTTCCATATTTTCCCCATGTTATCACCTCAGTGCATCCATCCAGCTCCCAGATACAATCACAAAGTGTCAATGAGTTTGGAACACACACAGTTGCACAGATGCTTTCAAAAACATTTACTTGCTAATAAATAAAGGTAAATACAAGTTCTGATTCTCATTCTTCCAGTCAAGCTATTCATTTGGCAGATGCAAGTGAAGAGTACCTTTCAAGTAAATTCCACTTCACCTCTGCTTTTGGAAATAAGGATGCCATACAGGTAAGCTGCGCTATCCTTATCTCTATCAAATGCAGACACCCACCTTCTACTGTAGCAGGAGCCAGGTATTGAAAGGACCAAGGAGAAAATCTTTAATTACAATTGTGCTAAATACAGCTTACTGAGAAAAGCTCCTTCTTAAATCCAGGGAATTACTGGTTTCATTACAACGAAGAAAGATGCACAGCCTCAGTGAATAATTTTATACCTTCTAGGTTCATAGAATCATAGAATCATAGGGGTTGGATCATCTAGTCCAACCCCCCTGCCAGAGCAGGGTCACCTAGAGTACATCACACAGGAATGCATCCAGGTGGGTTTTGAATGTCTCCAGCAAAGGAGACTCCACAGCCTCTCTGGGCAGCCTGTCCCAGGGCTCTGTCACTCTTACAGTAAAAAAAAATTTTCGGATATTCACCTTGAATGTCCTATGCTCCAGTTTGCATCTCCTTGTCCTGTCACTGGACATCACTGGAAAAAGCTTAATTCCATCTTCCTGACACTCACCCTTTACGTATTTGTAAATATTGATGAGGTCACCCCTCAGTCTCCTTTTCTCCAAACTAAAGAGATTCAGCTCCCTCAGCCTTTCCTCATAAGGGAGATGTTCCACTCCCTTAATCATCTCTGTGGCTCTGCGCTGGCCTCTTTCGAGCAGTTCCCTGTCCTTCTGGAACTGAGGGGCCCAGAACTGGACACAATACTCCAGATGCGGCCTCACCAATGCAGAATAGAGGGGGAGGAGAACCTCTCTTGACCTACTAACTACCCCCTTTCTAATGCACCCCAGGAGGCCATTGGCCTTCTTGGCCACAAGGACACATTGCTGGCTCATGGTCATCCTCCTGTCTACCAGGACCCCCAGGTCCCTTTCACCTACACTGCTCTCCAGCAACTCTCCAACCTATCTAAGTCTCTCTGAATGGCAGCACAGCCTTCTGGTGTGTCAGCCACTCCTCCCAGCTTAGTGTCATCAGCAAACTTGCTGAGGGTACATTCTATACCCTCATCCAGGTCGTTGATGAAGATGTTGAACAACACCGGTCCCAGTACCGACCCCTGTGGGACTCCACTAGTCACACACCTCCAACCAGATTCTGCCCCATTGACTACAACTCTCTGACTCCTTCCTTTCAACCAGTTCCTAATCCACCTCACTTCCTGGTCACCAAACCCATACCTGATCAACTTTTCTACAAGGATGCTGTGGGAGACGGTGTCAAATGCTTTACTGAAATCAAGATAAACCACATCTACCGCTCTACCATCATCTATCCACCTAGTAATTTCCTCATAGAAGGCTATGAGGTTAGTCAAACATGATTTACCCTTGATAAAACCATGTTGACTGCTCCTGATGACCCCCTGATGTCCTTGATATGCCTAGAGATAGTGACAAGAACAAGTTGTTCCATCACCTTTCCAGGGATGGAGGTGATGCTGACCAGTCTATAGTTACCCGGGTCCTCCTTCTTGCCCTTCTTGTAGACTGGAGTGACATTTGCTATCCTCCAGTCCTCAGGCACCTCTCCTGTTACCCATGACTTACCGAAGATGATGGAGAGTGGCCCAGCAATGACCTCCGCTAGCTCCCTCAGCACCCACAGGTGCATTCCATCCGGACCCATCCATTTATGGATGTCCAGATCGCTCAACTGATCCCTAACCCAATCCTCATCTACCAAGGCAAACTCCTCCTTTATCCTGACTTCTGGGGCTGTATGAATCTGGAGCTCATGGGGAAAGCCTGCAGGAGTAAAGACAGAGGCAAAGAAGGCATTCAGCACCTCTGCCTTCTTTATATCCCCTGTCACCAGGGCACCCACCTCATTCAGCAGTGGGCCTATATTGCCTCTAGTGTTAGTTTTATCTGCTATGTATTTGAAAAAGCCCTTTCTATTATCCTTAACCCGGCTTGCAAGGTTAAGTTCCAAGGAGGCCTTAGCTTTCCTAATTGCCTCCCTACATCCTCTGACAACTGTCCTATATTCTTCCCAAGTGACCAGCCCCTCCTTCCATGATCTGTAGATTTTCCTTTTCCACTTGCGTTTGCCCAGCAGTTCCTTGTTTAACCATGCTGGTCTCCTAGCTCCCTTACTAGATTTTCTACCCATTGGGATACACTGATCCTGTGCTTGCAAGAAGTGGTCCTTGAATGTTGACCAGCTATCTTGATCCCCTTTACCTTCTAGCACCCTGTCCCATGGGACTTCCCTTAACAATTGATTGAGGAGGCCAAAGTTTGCCCTGTGGAAGCCCAGGGTTCTGGCCCTGCTGGGTATTCTGTTCCTCCCACACAGGATTCTGAACAGCACATGCAGCCACAGTGATCCCAGCGTTGCCCCAGCCATCACTGACAACTGCAAGCCCCTCTAAGTGCATGCCCCAGACGCATGATACCAATTCCCAACTAGCATCCCCCCAGAAATGCTGCTTCCCACTCTCGTGCCAACGCCATCGCAACCTCCTCATCCCCGGACACCCCCACTACCAGGCCCTCCTCGAGCAGAAGCTGCCAAACGAAGCGGACCGCCACACGCAGCTACAGGCCAGCTCCCTGACCGCAGC